CCCTTTTTCCTTGCCCGCTGCTCCGCTCTCTGATCCTCTTCTCTGCGCAGCCTCTCGTCCTCTTCCTCTTCATCATCGTCGTCCTCTACTTCCACAGCCTCTTTCCTTCTCCCTGGTTCGTGTTCCCCCCTTGGAGGCTCTTGGCTCGTACTGGCCTTGGCTTGATTTCTCGTTCGCGCTGCCTGTGCCAGCCGGGCCTGCGGAGTGAGGGGTCTCCCCCTCATTCCTGGTTGAGGGCACGACCCCACCACATTTACTCCGGGTCGCCCAGGCGCTGACTCCGGGCCGGAGTCATAGAGGAATACTGTGGGGACATTAGACTTTCATCCTTTCACTCCTTCACAGAGGCCTACCAACTTCTGTTGGTACCTCAACATCTTATCCAGCAAGTCCTCCATCTTCTCAAATAAGACGGACAGAGGCTCCGTTCTTTCCTCCTCATCCTCGTCATCTGACTCGATGATTATGGCCTCTTCCGTCTCACTTCCTCCTCGCAGCCCTTGAGTCACTTCCTTATTGCTCCCCACTTCTTCTACCCCAAACGGTGGTTTCTCCTTTTCCTGCCATAGCCTGAACATGGCAGGGGGTGGTGACCCAGCTGCCGCTCTTCGTTGGGCTTCAACCCTCACTCTTCCAAGCCTTCTGTCAATGGCCTCCCCAAACTGATCGTAGATATTCCCATCCATAGTAGAGGAAATCAGTCCGCTTCTCTCGTCTTCCCGTCTTATATTACAGAACCTTATAGTGTGGCCCTGCTGGTCACAATGTTGACAGATGGCCGTCCTCCAGTCAAAGCGGGGTCTTCCATACCCCTGACCTCCCTTGATAGCCCTGGCCTTGGTACCCCTGGCCTTGACTCCCTTGGCCTTGGTACCCCTGGCCTTGACTCCCTTGGCCTTGGTACCCCTGGCCTTGGCCATTCCGTTGCCTTCCTCTTCCGCCACCATTCCTGCCTTGCCCCTTTCCTCCACCCCTACCTTCACTGCCTTAATTGCCTTGCCCCTGGTTCCCACCTCCTACAACACTGCCCTGTGAACTGGGATCAGGTGACGGTGGCGGGGCCACAGGTTGGGCCTGGGCCGCGGGGTAGATGGGTGGTGGCGTACTCGTTTGCGGTCCGACTACTGGCAGCGTGCTTCCCCATGGCACAATTGCGTTGATCACCGGCCAGGGCCACTGTCCATAGGAGGGCGCCCCACCTTGCGAGGGGCCCGTAGTAGATGATGGAACCGCCACATTTAAAGGGGTTCCGTACCTGACGTTGTTCCACCTGGTCCAAGCACCCAACTTCCATCCCTCTGTCAATGGTGGCCCAGGTGAGCTTGGTGCTACCTCCTCCATGTTTTGTCAATTCGACAGCCTCCGATGCTGTGAGTAGCCCCAGAAAGATGGCGCACTGTGCTTCCTCCGAAATCCCATGGACCTTCCGCGCCCTCTTCTTAAATTCTTGAACAAAGCCCCCTATGGCCGTAAAATCCTCTTTGTTCATCGCTTCAAGGTTCGTGGTAGTCAACAACCCGTCTCCCAGGTGGTATTTCCTCTGCATCCCCTCCTTGAACCTCTCCCAGCTACCTTGAGCCGCATCTATGACTTTCTTCACCTTCTGATGGTAGCTGTGGAGGACATACTGAAGGATGCGTTGAAACTTTACAACATTCGGCCGCCCGACCAAAGCTTGTTCCACCCGCTCTAGCCATTCTGAGACTCTCTCCCCACAGAAATGGAAAGTATCGACCTTTGGGATGTTGCTCGGGTTCCTTTCATGTCGGTCAATGGCCGCAATGAGGTCATCGAGTGTCAGGCCCTTCTTGGGAACAACTGATGCGCCGCCAGTCTCAGGCATCTTGACAGCCTCTTCTTTTTAAGTTCCCTGGCAAAAGAAAACAAGCACATCCCCTTTAGTCAACACTATACCTTGACCGGTCTATTCCATCCGTCCTACCTAACCCTTAATACTTACTTTACCCAATGTTAACACGATCGTCCCTCATACTTCCTCTACTTGGGTAGGTAAATTTCCTCACCTACACTTAGTCATTCATATATTGCTTCATTACCTTCTCATCACTCCGTTATGCCTTTTCTTATTCACTTCTCATACCCGGATGTCGTTCCACTAGGGACAACGGTAGGCTTTCCGCTATCCCCTGCAACGGCGCCACCTGTCGGGCACATCGGTCCGGCACCGCACGGGGGCAGCGCGGGACCCTCCCGGCCGCGTCACGCAGGAGTTGGTTTTTTGAACCCTTCGTCGCAATATACATGGAGCTTCCACAAGCCGCTCCGGCCGGGTGCGCCAGCCATACCTCTCGCGAGCCCCTACGACAGGATAGGGCCTACGCGAGGCTCGACTTACCTACACCTTACGGGAGCTGTCACCTCCCTTCGGTGGGCGTATCCCCGCCGAGCTACCAGTCCACAGTACGAAAGCTAATCAGTTGCA